ATACTCATAGATAATAATCTCCTTACTTAAATTGTTGATAATATTGTTTATCATAAACAAACTGTGATAATTTTGTCTAATTTATCAAAAAGTTTTATCTGTATATATGTGTTTGAATTATGAAACTTTGAATAGTGTTGTGTGTTTTTGTGTACAAAATGGATATAGAAGTGATTAAATAGAGATTTGATTAGTTTTTTTGATACAGGTAATATTAAAAAACTAGCCTTAAAACAGAGTTAAAGGGTTATTCTGTCAGTCTTGTCAGAATCTCATAAATTGCAATTTATTCAATTGGAATCATTTTTTTATCTAACTATCTTACAAAATAACTAAAATGTGATTAATTTTGTTTTTCCGCCTTTTAAATTAATAAAGGTTGTGTGGTAAATTTATAGTCATAGCCGTATCTTCCAAACGGCTGGACCTGCCTTGGCCAAAAACTAATCAGCACGTCTTCTTATCAAATAGGAATTGATTGTTTTTCGAATTATTCAAATCGGTTGAACCGTGTTCTCGAAATCGTCGACGAAAAATTGTATCCGCACTTACATACACACACATACATACATACAGACACATACTTTACAATGACATCCATTTTTTCTAATGTATGCCAAAATGTTCAGAAGGCTTTGAAACGTAAAGATATATACAAAATTTTGTTTTAGATTTTTTTGCGATTACTACATGATGTTAATTAATTAATAAAAATCAAATAATATATTTCTAATTATCTTAATTATTGTATTTAATTTAAAAATAATTATTAAAGAATCCTGTACGAATAAAATTTGCAATTCTGTTTTAACATTAGTAACTTACATTTCCAATTTACTTCATATTAAATTAATAACAACTGATAACTTCCTATTTTTTTGAATTTTTCAAACTTTTTGTATTTTTTCTTCATTTTATAAGTATAAATCTTTCTCCATCAATTAAAAATGTATGTTAGTAAATCAAATTAGAATCTGACATGATTTTATTCATACAACTATGGTGTTATATTATGATTTAATTTTTATATTGATTTTGATTTCCAATAATTTTATTATTATTTTTTTTACAATTTTCCCCTAGCTCTCTCATTACTAATTGTGATCCGAATTAAATGTGGGCCATTTGTTCGAACAAAAAACTCGTTTTAATTTGAATTAAAATTAATATATACATAAATATGAAAATATATAAATTTTGTACGAGTATGTAAATATGTAAATGTGTGAACTTTAAAAACATTGAACTTGTCTTCGACTAATTTTTTGTACGTATTTTTAATGGAATGTCGTTTATGGGACCTGAAAATTATATTTTGACACAAATTAATAATGGATCACCGATTTATATATATATATATATATATATATTTAAAATGACTAATTAATTATTAAATAAAATTGTTTTTTAGTTTTCCTAAAGTAATTTTTATTCTATTTAAAAGAAATCTGCTGTTTATAGAAACTGGGGTTTATAGTTTGCAGGGTCAGCTAGTATATATATATATATATATATATATATATATTGATTTGAACCGTTTTAATTAAAAGGTCAATCAATTTTTGCTCGCAAAATTCTTTTAGCAATTACCGACTTTAATTGGTTCAATAAAAACAATTATTTATATTAAATAAATAAATGAATAAAAAATCATAACAAAATCCCATATGAAAATAATACATTCTTAAATTATTTATTACAATTTATAACAAATATTTAAAATTTAGTCCAAATCATATTTATCACAATCACAATCAATATAGTCTTTGATTTTTTAACAAGATTGATTGAAAAACCATCGACTACAGTTCTTATTATATTCCAATAATATTTTTTATTAATTTATTTAAATTTATCAGTTGAACTTAAATTAAACAAATTATTTATTATCGATAAAATAAATAAAAGAGTGCGCGTAAGGATTACACGCGATTGAAGTAAAACTTATTTGCTACTGTACAAGATGGCGTTTAAGTAAAAATAAATACATCATATAACAATTTTGAATAATGCTTATTAGTAATATGGTAAACACTCGTGATGGACACATTTATTAGTGTTAACCATTATACACATTTATATAATAATAAATTACAAATTATATATTTATAATAGCATTAAAAATATTTATAATATATAAAAACAATAATGTAATTAAAGTCATACTACTTCAAATATGACATGATCGGTTTGTCATTGTAATTAGCATTTAGAAAGAAGTAATTGCTGATTAATTAGAGAAATGAATTATTTGCTGATTAATAAATTCTATAATATTCGTTCACACAGTGGATTATGTTAAGCAACATCTAAACAAATATTGCTTTCACAACTTCACTCATCATGTAATTGTGTTTGAAGAACTTCATGTAATTAAAATTAACATATATTCATTGACTGGTGGTATTTTTTTACTTTTTCGCTGGCTATATAACCTCATTCTTTGAACAGCTGTAATAACTTCAAAGATTTATAGAAACCACGAATAATATAGAAATCATTTCTAATCAATAAACTTACGTTTATTACACGGCACAAATGTTTAATTTGATTTTCATGGATAAAATATTTCAGGGTAAAATATTCTTCTGATTCAGGCATTTTTTCATTAAATAAGTACTACGATGTAACATTAAAATGTTTATTTATTGATTTCCTCGTTGATATCGGTACGCATACAACGTTGATGCCGGTACGCATACAACGACAGATCTCTATACACATACGCGACGACTAATCACAATCGACCCGTATTGAAATGATATCATCGAGAGCGAATGACGAATCATTGGCACTCGACTCGGCCGTAACGCACTTCCGTTGCATTTATACCCTAGTCGCGTTCTATGTACGGATTTATACCCTAGTCGCGCCTAAAGAAGTTTTCCTTCAAAATATTTTTTAATGTAATCTATTTCTTTGTGTTTTTCATTAAATTAGATTATAAAAGTTCTTATTTTTTTTTTTTATTATTATTATTGACTTTGTAGACAAGTACATTTTTATTTTATTATATTTATAATATTTCATATTATTATGTTATTATAATTATTATTTCATTTCCATCTACTTTTATTTTTCATGTCTCATTAATTTTCTGATTGTAGTAGATTAATAAATGAATATAAAAATAACGAAACCCATTTATGTATAAATCTACAATAACTAGATCAACTTGTAATACTTTAATCTTGTTTCTAACTATTGCAAAGGTTGTTTATAAATATAAATACACCTGAAGACACCCACAACTTTGAAATTGTGAAATTTTAAACCAGTTTGCGTAGGATAAACAATGTCACGATTTGGATTCTTATAAGAATTCGATAAGATATATACAGGAAATGCAACATTCTGATAAGATTTCTTTAAACAGATTCATATAAAATTTCGACAAAAACCTGCCAGTTTTTTTGTAAATTTTGTCAAAAAAATGAGGATTTTATGAATTTTATTAATTGGATTCTTATAAGAATGCAATATGGTAGGGGGAAGTCCCCGAGTGCCGGACACCTAAAGTTATTTATAAATAAATCAAAAAATATTTTACGAAATGTTTATTAAATTATGACTTATGTTAGATAACAAAGTTAGAGATCAAACTAAATTAACAAAAACGCAATCTTTGCTAAACCATAATTAATACTATCAATCAAACTTTGGTAACAAAAAATGTCATTTTACTAAGTGGCACCTAGTACCGGACATTTCAAAATAACCACATATGTAGCCATCTCCACACTCTGGAATATCTGCAAAAAAATCACTAATTATCCACCCTTTTGGCTGGGCCACACCGATGCTCTCAGCTGGAGCATTCATCATAAGATTAGAAAATACGAAATATGGGGGTATGTAGTGACCGTTAGCACTCATACAGAACAAAATTAAATAATTCGAATTAAGTACGTCCATTCATTCTCACAAGAAATATCAATATGTTTACTGTCCGGCACTAAGGGACGACTTAGTGTCCGGTGCTAAGGGACAAATATCTAATAATATTTTACCATTTTACGGATAACAATCAAGTACTACTTTTATTTTTGAATGCCACTAAAAGATAAATGCATAAATACACTAGAATTACTTCCATTGATTGCGCCTAAAACAACAAAGGGTTTTTCCCGCCGTGAGTCTTGGCGTGTGATCCTGCACCTGTGAGCCCCCCGCGCCCCCTTTCACTTGTATTTTGAAATAACAAGATTTATACTCGCCTAAATAATACGGGTTAAATAGAGTGTCCGGCTTTAAGTGCCGTCCGGCGTTACGGGACTTCCCCCTATAGACAGAAAATGCAACATTCTGATAAGATTTCTTTAAACAGATTCATATACAATTTCGTAAAAAACCTTCAAATTTTTTTTGTAAATTTTGTCAAAAAAATGGAGGATTTTATGAATTTTATTATTTGCATTCTTATAAGAATTCGATAAGATATAGACAGAAAATGCAATATTTTGATAAGATTTTTTTAAATAGCAAGATCCATATAAAATTTCGACTAAAAGATTTATAATTTTTTTTAAAAAAAAGTTATAACTATGGTATAACTTTCCATACTAATTATTGACGATAGCCATGTGGTTGCTGTGCAGTCCGGCGTTTTTTTAGGTTGTCAGGTAGAAAACCTAACCGAGAAACCGCACAAATGTCAAAAAATCGATCTTAGATAACATGGTCTTTCTGACCCAGCTTTATAACATACGAGTGACGTTGCAGTTTATGGATAAAACACCAGAATGCACAGCAAATACATGACATTTTGACAGTATTCAGTATGATTCAGTAGCATAATGTTTGGAAGTCGGGGCGTAACATGGCCTTGCCATAACATTGGTCTGTTGTGCGACAAAATCGGCTCATTAATTTTTATAAAATTGTTGCCACAAAAAGTTGCCAGCAATAAATCAAATGTTTGCTTTTCGTCATAGATATTATTAGTATAAGTTATATTTATTTTTAATAACGAATTTTTAATAAACAATTTTTTTTACCAGATTGCGTATCCGTTACGTGATGCCACCACCTCCTCCGACTGCACATCTGACTCTTCGAGAAGAAGATGTTGTCCGATTGGCACTCGAGTTCCTGCACAATCGGGATCTGCACATTGCACAATTGGCTCTGGAGAGAGAAACTGGAGTTATAAATGGTAATTGGTAATTGATACAACTCACCAATAGGCTAAATAATAGTTAAAAGTGGAGCTGTAAATGGTAATAGTAATGCTTTTGGTAATTGGCTGAACATTAACACAATATGATGAATTCAAAAAGATAAAACTATTTTCACAAAAACCGTCTTTTAAGAGTACAATCTTCTCTATATAAAAAACTAGCAAACCCGACGAACTCCGTTTCGCCACCAGATGGTTTCGTGAGAAAGATGAAGAAATGTTTTGCTTGTTTTATATTTGAAAAGGAAAAATTTGATTTTATTATACAACAGTAATGAATTTATTTCGATTACAAAAATGAAGTGTTTTTTAGTTGAACTTCTCTAAGTAAATGAAAGTGAATCCGCAAATTATCCGTTTCATTGAAGTGCTCTTTGGTAAACCACATTTTTTGTTTTTTGGTCTGACGTTAACACAAACAAAGCGGATGGTTTTCCAACTCGTGAACAGGCAACTTATAACTGTCCATGTGAAAAACAATGATTTTCTAACTAATCTATTTGAAATTTATCCCGCAAACACTAAGCGATTGGCCTTGCGACTTGTTATTGCGAATGCAAGGCGAACTGGAAATTGCAATCGATTGAAGAGAAACGGAAGATAAGTCGGAATCATTGGTATGTCACCAAATCGCCAGAAATTTTTGATTGAATGGTGAAATTCAGTACGTGTACATCATTATTCTTTGCGGCAAGAATTGCTCGTTGACTTAACCAAGCATAATTCTGATAATTCTCACTAATGTCATTACTCGAATTTTTAATTACGGTGCGTGAAGTTCCAGCAGCTTGCATTAAGACACGATGCCATGCACAACTAATTTTCTTAGCTATAAACCTTGCGGAGCCCGAGACCTTTCCAACGAATGCAAAATTGTCGAAACCGGTTCGTGCGTTCTGGAGATATTTCGTCAGGAAGGAAAACCCGACTTATTTTTATATATATAGAAGATTAGGTCCAAAAACAAAAGAATGGGAATTTTCAATGGAATGTTGGACTGGGGTGCTTTGGACATTTCGGCTTTAATGGTGAAGAACACTCAATTCACCAATTGCACCATTGTTTGACCAATGTATTGTTTGTCACAATTTTTACAAACAACTGAATAAACTAAGTTCATATTGAATTTAGGAGGGGTTGTTGTTTTAGTTTTTGAAAACATTTCTTTGAAAGAATATGAAGAGGTTCCTGTAATTAAATTATTTTCTAGTTAAGTAAAAATCGATGAGTCTTTTTACAAATAAGCCTGGTTGTATGCAATTTGCTGCACTTTGAAGTATGCACAGTTGCATTCCAGTCTGGAACAATTAATTTTTATAGGATATTAATTTTTTTTTTCTGTTTTAGGTAATTTTAGCGATGATGTCCTATTTCTCAGACAGCTCATCCTTGATGGACAGTGGGATGATGTATTGGAATTTATACAGCCGTTGGAAGCCCTACCTGAATTTGATTCGAGACGATTCAGTTACATAGTTTTAAGACATAAATATGTTGAACTGCTTTGTATTAAATCAGAAGCTGCACAGGTAATTAAAAATATACTTAAGTATAAAATACTAAAATTAGAAGATTATACAACAAATGAAAGAATTCTTTCAAAATGACAAAACTTTCAAATTTAATATATAATTTTGTAATTGGTGAAATCACAGTTAGGTCGAAAACTTACATATATCAGGATGTTTATGGAACTTGCCTGAAGACAAAATGCCATTTACATCTAGTTTTGTTCATAACAACTAAAAAATCTATTAAAATACATTTGTACAAAAAATATTTAATTAACGCTTACTATGCATATCCAAGTCTAAGTAAAAATGTAATGCAAGCATAAACAATTTTTCTAACAAAACTACTTAAAAATTGCTAAACAATTTTTCTGACAAAACTACTTAAATGTTGCTAAAACTACAATCTGTTTTTCTAAATAGATCACCTGCACCTAGTTCACTAGTGGCTTTTATTCTAGGTTAGCAATGTTGACAGTGCAGTGGACGAAGTAGTTCGAGTCCTAAGTGATTTAGAAAAATATGCCCCCAGCAAAGACGAATACTCAAACCTATGTCTATTACTAACTCTTCCTCGATTGACAGACCATTTAGAATACAGAGATTGGAACCCAAGCAATGCAAGAGTTAGATGTTTCAGGGAAGTTTATCCCTTAGTTGAGAAATTTTTATCAAGTGCTACCACAACTAATGGTGCCTTGAATGGACAGGATAAATTTGGGGGCCAACAAGAGGCTAAAAATGATAGGCTGATACAGTTGATTATTAAAGGAGTGCTTTATGAGTCGTGTGTTAATTATTGTCAGGTGAGGAAAGGATGGAACGAACAAATAATAAAGTAGTAGATAAATTAAAGAAGTGGAACTTCGTAATGTAGAAATTGAAATAGGAAGAAATATTTAGTGTCATATTCTTTCCTAATTACAGAACTTGTTCATTATTGATTTACCAGATAAACCTAATTAGCATTGATTTACTAGATAAGCTTAATTAACATTTGGTAGATCATTTTTGAGTGATGAAATATAAATATGAAATGTTTGAGTCCTATTTGTTCACTATTTACTGCAGAAACTGCATCAATGGTAGAAATATTTAGGTTCATAAATTTTGCAGACAGTTTACTGCATTTTTACACCAGTTACTGCATTTTCAAACAATTTACTAACTACACTATCGGATAATTCACATTATCGGATGATTCATGTCATTTTCAAACAATTTACAGAATTTTTAGGACATCTACTACATTTTCAGACAATTTACAATATTTTCAGACAGTTTACAATTTTTTTATACTACATTACATTTTCAGACACTCTACTACATTTTCAGACAGTCTATGATATTTTTCGACAACATTTTTAGACAGTCTACAATATTTTTAGACGATCTGCAATATTTTAAGACATTTTACAATATTTTTAGACTGTCTACAATTTTTTTCTGACTGTCTACAATATTTTCAGACAATCTACAACATTTTCAGACAAGTTACTACATTTTTACACAGCCTACAACATTTTATACAGTTTACAACATTTTCTGGTAATTTACAAAATTCTCAGACAATATATTATATTTTCAGACAAACTATTGCATTTTCAGACAGCCTACAAAATTTTTAGACAGTCTACGACAATCTATACCATGTTCAGACAATTGACTACATTTTCAGACAGTTTACAGCATTTTCAGACAACTTACAAAATTATCAAATAATCTACAATATTTTCAGACAATTTACTACATTTTTAGACAGCTTACAACATTTTTAAACAGTCTACAATATTTTCTGACAATCTACAATATTTTTAGACCATCTACTACATTTTCAGACAATTTACAATCTTTTTTGACAACTTATTACTTTTTTACACAGCATTTTCAAATATTTTCTATAACATTTTCATACAATTTTTGACGTATTCAGAAAATTTACATTTTCAAACAATCTATAATATTTTTAATCTAAACTGCAACATTCTTGTACATTCTACAACAGTTTTTTACAATTTTTTTAGACAATGCACATCATTTTCAGAAAATTTATTACACTTTTAGACAATATACGACATATTCAGATAATGTATGTACAACATATTCAGACAATTCTCACAATTTTCAGACAATATACATTATTTTCAGAAAATTTAATACATTTTCAGACAATCTACAACATAATCAGACAATCTATGTACAACATATTCAGACAATTACCACAATTTTCAGACAATATAAATCATTTTCAGAAAACTTATTACATTTTTAGACAATCTACAACTGAGATTTTACAATAATTTTAGGCAATTTACAATATTTTTATACAATTTATTACAATATCAATCAATTTACAACATTTTCAGACTATTTAAACATTAACAACGAAATTGATAAAAAATTAAAAGTAATTTGTACAAGAATTAAGGAATTTAGTCTAAAATTTTAAAAATTGGATAAACATTAAAGAGCTTGAACAAATGAAATTGTCCTAAAATTAGAAATTCTGTCTAAACTGAAAAAAATCGAATAAAACTGAATTTGTTGCAACTTTTTATGCTTATTGAAAGTTGCAGTAGAAGTTTCACTTCAAAAACAAATAGAATCTTGAATAAGGAGGCATGATTAAGAATCTCGTACAAATGTTAAATTAATTTTTCCTGAATTTTGCTAAAAAATGAATACATTTGATCAAAAATTAATAAATCTAAAACATCCTTGTATCTTTGTTGGAAGTTGCAGTAGAAGTTTCACTTCAAAAACAAATAGAATCTTAAACAAGGCAGCATGATTAGGAATCTCATACAAATGTTAAATTAATTCTTCCTGAATTTCGTTCAAAAATAAAAAAAAATCGATCAAAAATGAATAAATCTAAAACATTTAAAGTAACCTTATTAGAAGTTGCACTAGAAGTTTCACTTCATCTTCAAATTTTGTACTAAAATATGTTTTTTACCTCAGGCAAAGGCTACAGGATCAACAGTTAAAGACACAGGATCAAATCCATCCACAAATTCGGGTTCCCAAACAAATTGTGGGTCCACAATAACACAAGAGATGAGTTTTTCAAGGCTGCTGGATGGTTCTTTAGGATTCTCTGACTCTGATTTAAGTTTGTTGTCCTGGTTGCAAAGTATACCAGGAGACACATTTGCTGTGCCTTTTGAACAAAGGTATAATTGTAATAGAAATAAATTTATGAAACCATGTTTTTATTCCTATTCAAATTTTTTTGTAGGACCTTAAATGTAGATGTTGAAAGATTAGAAAGGCCTGCACTGGATGCATCCTGGACTGAACATATGCTGGTTGTGCCGATTAAACCAAGAGCCTTTCCACATTCTGCAATGCCTTTTACTAGACCAAGAAGTGCTGCTGATGCCATGACCAGGTTGGTAAAAGCAATATTAAGACAATATTTGCTCCAATTAACTATGTTTTTAATATTTTGTAGATCATTGATGCCTGGTTTGGATGGTTTAGGCTCCACTGGACATCCTGATGGAGCAAACTCAGACTCAACAAATCCAGGTAAATAAATAAATTCTGCTACAGAAACTAAAACAATACTGAACAAAAAGTAATTTGTCTTTTTATCTATTTTTTCAGGAGGTGTTATGTCCAGATCAAGTTTTGCCAGTTTTCATTTAACCGGTGTTAGGAATGGTAAACTGATGTCTTCAAGTGTTGACAGGTTATTTGAAAATGCAGGAGATGGTGAAGTATTTTTAAGCAGTAGCTATGCTGATTTTCATAACCCTATGCCAGCCATACATGAAGGAGTTGCTAAATCCAGATCACCAGATCTGTCACAGGTAAATAAAAATGATAATGGTATATAGAAATAAGTGACATTTTGCCTTCCAGTTTTTTTTCACCATGTGTTTTAATTTTTATTTTATTATTTATCCAGGCATCAACACCAGAGCACCACCTGCCTCGTCCAAACGCTCCAAACAGTGGCAGAGACACACCACCTTCAACAAACAACTCAACAGCTCGGTCATCTAGGAGGGACTCCTTAAATGACTCCAATAGAACTTACGCAGTACCTCACCAACATCACACACAGCACAAAGAAGCCCCTCAGCAACAGTACCATGCAGTGGTCCACAATTCTGAAAAAATCTATGCCAGTCCCCACCAGGATAAAAACCAATACCATTCTAGCCTGGATCGAATGGGTGGAGGAGCCAGGAATGAAAGTCCAATACATAATAGGACTGTCACATCATCTCCTGTACTTGGGGGACAGATGAAGTCAATGCAGAGCCCAACAAGGGTAAGTGTTTAACAAAACTTGAGAACAACTAATTTTGTATTAACTCTATTTTGTTCTCCAGGTTCCTGGTGCTTCACCACCATTAAATCATAGACCTGTCCCAAATCAACAATCAGCACAAATCCCTTATGCCAACTCTGGTTTAGGGATCATCACATCCAACAATACCCAAGTGCAATATCAGCAAGCTAATGGTGACAATTCATCAGCAAGAACTGGTGAACTGTTAAGGGAGTACCATCAGAAGCAGAAGTTAAGAACCAGTGACACAAATGGGGGTCCCAAGGAGATGATGATGCAGCAGCACCAGCAGCAGCAGATAAGGGGGAAGCAGTTTATTCAGGGAGGAGATGGGTGAGTTAATTTGTTTTTTTTTATTTTCTCACCAACAATCACTATTTATTTTTCCTTGATTAAACTGTAAATATTAATTGCTGCCCACGCTGGAAATATCTTGTTGCCTTTTTTGGACATGAATGCAGACAAATGTGTGTGTTTGTTTTATAATGATGCAATTTGCATAAATTAATATTAAATGCGTTTTTAAATTCCTATAAACGATCGTGATATTGAAGTAAAACTTCTAGTGCGATTTTTTTAGAAATTGTATCTGAAAAGACATCTGGAAAAATTCAGTCTCTGAAATTTTTTTGAGAAGATGAAGAAGATTTTTGGGTAGATTGTTTTAAAATGTTGTTTGATTTTATAATAGACATATTGCAAAGTAACAAAAGTCCTGAGGAGCTCTTTGAAAACTACACTTCAGTTTTTGGAGTTTTTGGAGAATATTATGGAGATTTTGTCAAAATATTGTCAATATCTGAAAATTTTGTGAGGAAACCTATTAAATTTAATATTTTTGATCAAAGTAGACATATTGAAGAATAAGATATTCAATTTACAAGGATGTAGTACAAACGGTACGTCCTGAAGAGCTTTTTAAAAATTACACTTCAGTTTTTGTCTATTATGTATTATAAATATTATGGAGGTTTTGTCAGAGTATTGTCAATATCTGAAAATTTTGTGAGAAAACTTCTTAAATTTAGTATTTGTTATCATAGTAGACATACTGAAGTTTCAGGTATTCAATTTGCATGGTTGTGGTACAAACAGTACGTCCTGAGGAGCTCTTTTAAAACGACATTTTAGTTTTTGTACGCTTATAAATCTCACAGAACTTTTGACGGTTAATTGTTAGTATCCTAAAATTGTGTAAGGAAACTTATTTAATTTTAGTATTTGTGCTTACAATAGACATATTAAAGTATAACTTGTCCCAAATTCAAGGTCATAGTACAAACGGTACGTCCTGAGGAGCTTTTCCAAACGACTTTTTGTTTTGAACTATGATAAATCTTAGAGAACTTTTGTTGAATAATCGTTAATATCTTGAAATATTGCAAGAAAACTTATAAATTTTAGATTTTTTAATCACAGTAGACACATTCAAGTATAACTTGTCCAAATTTCAAGGTCATAGTACAAACGGTACGTTCTGAGAAGCTCTTTTAAAACGACCTTTTAGTTTTTGCACTATTAAAATCTTACAGAACTTTTGTTAGATAGTCATTAAATCCTTACATTTTGTCAAAAAACTTAATTTTAGTATTTGTAGTTATACTAGACAAATTCAAGTATAACATATCCAAATTTCAAGGTCGTAGTACAAATAGTACGTCCTGAGGAGCTCTTTGAATACGATATTTTAGTTTTGTATATTATTATAAATATCATGGAGGTTTTGTCAGATAATCGTCAATTCTCAAAAATTGTGGGAAAAATAATTAATTTTAGTACTTGTAGATATACTAGACATATTCAAGTATAACTT